TTAATGCTGGGTAGACACCCATCGTTTCCCAAGGCAGCAAGGAGATTATGTGGGAAACTCATTCTCTTTGACCCACAGTCCCCTTGAGATGATTGAGAAGCAGGACAATGTTCAACATAAGATAGATTGCAACATTATAAAATGCAAGTATTCTCAGACACAGAATGAAGCAAAAACATGCGTACATGAAATCGGGTTTAGTAAAGATTTTAAAGTAATTATTCACAAACTGGAATGCTTATATATCAAATTGCCATTTTCAAGCTTGTATTTATAGATTGTTCCTCCACTGCTACTTTGTGTTCCTAATGTGTTTTTCTGCATTTTGCTTTGAAAAATTTGGTGGAATGGCATCCTGCTACTCAGCAGTAATACAGTTAGTATTGGATCTCTCCAAAGCATTTGTAGGTATCAAAGTAGGTAATACTATTCTTAAATTTTTGCTAATACTGGATCGAGAAAATAGAGATTTGTTTGTTTGTTTTAAATAATAAAATACTATAAGCATTTGTGAGCACCTTCTTACTGTAGAGTCTATAGACTCCTCATTACTTATGATAGGTTTTTTAATATACTTATATAAATGTAGTACTAGACAATAAGATGTCTTTTAACAGTGCAGGAACTGAAATAACTTATTTTCAATAGACTTGTCTTCTTCCATTTGTACAAAACAGTCTCCTCTTTCAAACAAAGCATCTTCTAACATGCACAATCTCTTTAAAAGTATTAATGCTGCAAGAATTTTTTTCTAAAGGAGTTGGAATTAGAATTAAAACCAACATTATAGGAAAGTAAAATGATAGACTTGAAATTAAAAGTCCCTACTGTTGCCTTATTCCAAATTTCATTTGGAGCTCTATCTCTTACAGCTTTGGTGTCAGTAGTTACTATACTGAAATTATATTGGATTGTATCAGAATTTAACTTTCGTTATTTTCTTAAGGCAACATTATTTTTAAGGGTTGATACAGATTTGTTTTCATGTCTGTTTGATAGAAACTCCTCTTGCTGCTAGTTGTGTCTCTTGATAATACTTATAAAGTTCACCTTACACAGATAGAGTTTTTCAAAACATTACATTATTGAGATGCATTCAGATTTTAAAACAGGTAGTTTTGATGGGTTTAAAATATTTTTCTTCATTTTTTTCTGTGATTAGTGAGACTTTCCAAGACAAACATCTGTATGTTTTGTAATTTTCTCAAAATAATGTGAGAATTTGACATGTAGAAGGCCATATTGCAGTTTAAAAGTTCACATTTAAAACCAGAGGTCATCTGAAACCTGGATACTGTTTTTATACTAGACCATAACTCTCAATGGCTAATCTACACATACTACATCTTTAGATCCTCGAGCTAATATTGAAATCACAGAAGATCTTCTAGTCTTTTAAAATTTAGATCAGGGAAAACATCTTGAAGTAACCGTTTCTCATTTAAAACTAAGGTGGGAGTCTAAACAATGAATTCAGAATACTTAACAAAGGAGATGCATATCATTTGAAATGCTGTTTTTATCTTTACTGCTTTTTCCATTGAATCTGTGCTGCTTCTCTGCAACTGTTTTCCACTATAGAAACTCCATCCTGCTGCCTTGCTTCTCGTGAGCGTATTTACAAAAGTAGTGATGTAGCTGGGCCTGCCTCTGCTATTTCATCTCTCTCTCACAAACTGAAGGGTGGGTATGCATGCCAACATAGCAAGGTTATTCAGATTTTATGCTCAAAATGTTTTTTTTTTCTCCTTCCATTCATTTTCATTTCTTGCTTATAAAATATGGAAAAGGAAAGGGTAAAAAATATATGGGGGTTTTGTTGTTGTTGTTGTTTACAGATAAAGCAGTCTGCTACATGATCATGCAGTTTTTCATTTGGGAGATTTTTTTTTTTTTGTGCTGATAGTCTAGAATGCTAACTAGGATTATTTACCTGTATATGTGCAAATCCAAACCTTTGTTTTTAAAAAGAGATTATTTATTGCTGGAAGCTACTGTTAAGCTATGCCTTTCATAAGCAGTTTTGTTCTAGAAAGTTTTCTTGCTTGATGTTCACTACTCATGCGTATACTTTGAATTTGATACATTGCTGAGTGGCTTGCAGTGTTTTATGTCCTCCAAGAAGACTGTTGTCATCTTTTCATTATTTTTTCCTTTATGGCAAATTCTGTAAAAGGTTCTATCTAGAGTATTTTCTCATCTGGCAGCACTTAAGTTCATCTATTTGTCTATTTATTTGTTTCTGGGAAAACTGTGTATAAAGTAATTATAATTTACATTTCTGAATTCATATATCACAAAGAAGACATCTCAAAAGATCTCATCAATAGAACTGATGAATAACTGAGCTGACATCAGCAAAATGCTTGGACTAATATTTAAGAACCTTTTATTTTTTTCTTTTAGCAAGAACAATAATTTTATTAACCATGATGTACCATGCTATTTCTTCCCTTCCTCTTCTCCCTTCCCCCCCGCCAAAAAAAATTATAGGACTCATAAGACAAAAGAACAAAGATAAATTAGACTCTCAGAATTTAGGTTTATGTTTGAGATGTTCTCATTATATTCTAGTGTTTACATTTGGCATATTGTTCCTGAATATAAACAAAATATTTCTTCTCTGCCTGGAGAAGTATGAACTCCTACTATGTTATGTCCTGGGAAGCCAGGAGAATGCCCTAATATTCTAGTATAGGTATTCTTCACTTTTCCCTGTTGCTGTTTATTTTATTATGAGCTATGTAAATATGGAGGTAGCAAAATAATAAGAACTGTTCTGTAACCTGAGAAAACATCTGACTTGCTAGACTTTGATCCAAAAAATACATTTGTTTTTGTATTGTGAGAGATAACAGTAGGAAAAACTGAGATCATTCCATGCTTCTATATATTTTCTAGTGTAGGGATAAGGCTTCATGATTGAGAGCTGGAAGAATTTGGTTCAGATCCCATAATACAGAAGGAAGTAAACAGAGGCTTCCCACCTTCTAAGTAAATACTGAAGGTACTGAATAAAAGATGACTGCCTGTCCTCTCTGTTCCCATCAGAAATCAAGGTCCAAATTTGCAAATAATCTCTGATTAATTGAAACTCTGGGGTTTTTTTAACAAATAGTTGTTTCCCTAAAAATGTACCCAGATAGCAGAAAAAAACATTCAGTGTCTAGAAAAGTAAATTAATCCAAAGTACTGTGACCTAATTCTACATGCTTTACTAGAGAAACTTCATGTTTAGCTAATGAGAACCCATTCAAATCAGAACTTACCTACATGTTCAAGACTTTGTAGTGTAATGCTTTGTGGAGAGACAGTTATATTTAATTCATGACTGCTGCATTGCTTGCCAGTAATTTCAACATTGCTTGTCTTAATTTTGAAAATACAATTCTACAAGAGAAACTGAGCGTGTTCACAGAATTATTAGAAGCAGATTGCTTTAATGATCAACTTACTTGCATATACTTGTTTTGTATGTATTTATATCAAGATACCCATAGTTTTTATAGTTTTGTATATTAATATATGTACAAAGTCAGTGTGTACAGGAGCAACAAATTAATGCATCAAAATAAGAGGACATCGTAGACCAGAGTTAACAGTTTAGCTTAGTGGCTGAAAAAGGTGGGGGCGGTTTTTTAGTAGGTTGTGTTCTGGTAGCAGAACATTGATAGTTTGTCGTTTTAAAAAAGGTGGTTACCTCAGATTATCAATATGAATTGTTTTAAACAATTACTCTTACTCAATTTGCCTTGTAGCTCTGTTTACTTCCTACATTTCCTGACTTTTGAGCATTAGAGAAAATAAAGCTGGTAATACGTTTGGCATTTCTGCAAGTCTGTTGTTGCAGTCAGGTTAACACACACAGAGATAATAAATAGTCCCTGGTTTCTGTTGCAGCTGTGGTAAACTTAGTTAACTTGGTGTTTTACCTAAGGATATAAATTGTGCTTTCTTTATTGGTGTTTGTGGAAATAGTGAACTATGCCTTTTGATACCTCTGTAGTAGTGTTTTATCTGTAAATATTTCCTAACACTTATTTGTATGTGTCTTTGGGAGACGAAATCTATTGAAAATATTCTAGGGAAAAAGAGTTCCCTTTTTTCCTTTCATTTTGATATGAACAGAAGCATGTGTTTGATTTTTATCTTATGTTCATATCTTTAATTCTTGTTTTGTATTACTAAAGGTATCACTGTCAAAATATAATAATTTAATTATAAAATACACTAAACAGGTGACCGAATGAATTTCACAGGAGCTGCTAGACCGATTTCGCCAGCAGGAAAATCAGATGTGTCATCAAAACACAGAGCTGACTGCAGGTCACCCAAGCTTGATGTACGAATGAATAGAGCTGCTGCTGACCAGAAGAAGCCTAGGAATACAGAAGGCTTATCTGCCAGTGAGTCTCTTATGCTGAAATCAGATGCTGCAAAATTGCGGTCAGACTCTCACAGCAGGTCTTTGTCTCCAAATCACAACACCTTACAAACACTAAAAACTGATGGCAGAACAACTACTGGTCTGAGAGCTGAATCTCCAGGGCCAGGAACCCGGTCATCTTCTCCCAAGACAAAAACACTTACAACTGTTAGATCTGGTGCTAGTTCTCCACGATCCTCATCACCCAATGACAAAACTCTACCTCAGAAAGCTTCATCCCCTGTAAAAACAAAACTTGATCCTCCTCGAGAACGCTCCAAATCAGATTCTTACACATTAGATCCAGACACCCTTCGCAAAAAGAAAGTACCGCTAACAGAACCCTTAAGGGGAAGGTCCACTTCACCTAAACCAAAAATTATTGCAAAAGATGGAAAACCTGTTACAGAAACTGAAAATAGAGCTCCTTCCCCTCATGTTGTGCAAGAAAATCTTCACAGTGAGGTAGTTGAGGTATGTACTTCAAGTACTTTAAAGACTAACAGCATTACAGATAGCACCTGTGAGGACAACACAGAATTCAGAAGTCTGGATGACAGTTCTAATAAAGTTCATTTCAGCATAGGAAAAGCACCACTGAAAGATGAGCAAGACATGAGAGCATCTCCAAAAGTGAGCCGTAAATGTGCTGGTAGGCACACAAGACCCAAAAAGGAAAAATCCAGCTTTCTTTTCAAAGGCGATGGCTCCAAGCCTGTAGAGCCTGCCAAGCAAGCAATGTCACCTTCTGTTGCAGAATGTGCTAGAGCTGTATTTGCTGCGTTTCTTTGGCATGAAGGAATAGTTCATGATGCTATGGCTTGTTCATCTTTTTTGAAGTTTAATCCAGAACTGTCCAAAGAACATGCACCAATACGAAGCAGTCTTACTCAACAGCCTGCAGAGGAAAAAGAAACCAAGCTGAAAAATAGACATTCATTGGAGATATCATCTGCTCTTAACATGTTCAACATCTCGCCTCATGGACCAGATATATCTAAAATGGGTAGCATCAATAAAAACAAAGTTCTCTCAATGTTAAAAGAACCACCTCTGCATGAAAAGTGTGAGGATGGAAAAACTGAAACTACCTCCTTTGAAACATCCAGTCATCACACAATGAAATCCAAGTCTCCTCTTCCATTAACACTGCAACACTTGGTAGCTTTCTGGGAAGATATTTCTTTAGCAACCATTAAAGCAGCTTCCCAAAACATGATTTTTCCGAGTCCCGGTTCTTGTGCGGTGTTAAAGAAGAAGGAAAGTGACAAAGATAACAAGAAAACCAAAAAAGAGAAAAAGAAAAAAGAAAAGGTTGAAACTAGGCCAAGGGGAAATCTTTTTGGTGAGATGGCCCAGCTTGCAGTGGGAGGACCTGAAAAAGACACCATCTGTGAGTTGTGTGGAGAATCCCATCCATATCCAGTGACTTACCACATGAGGCAGGCTCATCCAGGTAGGATTATGTATTTTTTCATTACCGTGTCCATCTGTAAAATATATTGCACACACATATTTTGGTGTTAGTTACTGTTATGAAAATGTGTGGTTGTCTTGTCTAACGTTTTAATTTTAATAACTTGGTGGGGGAGGTGGTTAAAATGTATCTTTGAAAAAAAAAAAATCCAGTTCAAGTCTCTAGACAATTTGTCTTGTAAAATACAATCCTGAATTAGGGAGCTATTGATACTTTGGACAAATTCATAATAAAAACTTGAAAACTACAGTGCATTTGGATTCTTTAGATACTGGTGGGACACATGGACGTGCAGCTTGTGTTTTAGTCAGTTCAGAGATACAGAAAAGGATAAATTTAGACCAGGAAAAGACAAGCAGTTTCCTTCCCCCTCTCAATCCCTCTTTTACAGTAATAATACAACAATAATCCTTCTTTTTAAATAACTTTTTTTTTTTTTTTTTCATCTTTTTCCCCAATGTAGGTTGTGGCCGTTATGCAGGTGGCCAAGGTTATAATAGCATCGGGCACTTTTGTGGAGGTTGGGCTGGTAATTGTGGCGATGGTGGTATTGGAGGAAGCACTTGGTATTTGGTTTGCGATCGATGCAGAGAAAAGTATCTCCGTGAAAAGCAAGCAGCAGCAAGGGAGAAGGTATTTTCATCTGTTTCTCATATGTTTAGCTCTTCATCTGCTTAATAGTACTGTGTCCACAACTTGAAAATAAGGTAGGGCCAGTTTAAAAAATTTGGAATTTCAGAATTTTTTAAGAACTTGGAATATTCACTTATTTTATTGATAGGTTTAAAATATGAAGATAGAAACTTCACTGATTACTTCTGACCAGATTTCCTCCCTTCAGACAGTAGTGTTTTCAAATTTGTAAAGTAATATTATTTTTTTATCCAGTACAGCTGTAGCATTGAATGTAGTACCTAATTTTTAGACGTATGTGTCAATTTATTTAACTTTGAATTCTGTTTTATTCGTTTACTGAAATACAAGTACTGTTTTAACTTTGTGTGTTTATAGTTTCTTTAATGATCTTAATCATCCAGATCGCTGGATACAGAAGCCAAACACTGGGCAAAGTAGAGCAATTTTTAATGGAAATAGTAAGAAAGATGTTCCTCTTATATTGGTCTTCCAGGACCAATTTCATATTCTTGCTTAAAGTATACAAATATGTTCAAGTTTTAAGATAAGCAGAGCAATGCTAATTTAACTTTATTTTTGAAACCAAATTTGTTGAAATTTCTTGGGGAAAAAAAAAATTCTGAGGCAAACATCAAAACTTTCAGCTGTTTATTAAAAGTTTGCAGAGTTATGAAAATAATAGAAGTTCCATTTTGTAATAGAAAAAATTTTTTACAGGAAGAATCAAGCAACTTTTAATACTAAAGTGATATTGTCAGCTTTTCCTGTGATAAAGTGTAATTTAAATACCTTTTTAAAATTTCTCTAGATTAAACAATCTAGGAGAAAACCAATGCAAGTTAAGACTCCTCGTGCCTTGCCAACTATGGAAGCTCATCAAGTGATTAAAGCCAATGCACTGTACTTACTGTCTCTGAGTAGTGCTGCTGAGCCCAGTATCCTCTGCTATCACCCTGCAAAAGCATTCCAATCTCAACTTCCCAGTGTCAAAGAAGGAATTTCTGAAGACTTTCCCATCAAAATGCCGTGTCTCTATCTACAGACTTTAGCAAGGTAATTAAAGGAATTTTATGAATATTTATTTTAACACTCATCTATTTTTACTGTTGGGTAAAAATGTGTGTATAAACTAAACTAAAACTTACATAGAAAAATACATTTTTTTCCTAATTCTTTATTATCTTTGTTGTTCTTTCATTTCCAAGATCTTGTTAAATTTCTTAGGTTGTATTTGTTCCAAGGATCAAATATAATCTGAGTAGTTTTTGGGTGCTAAATATTTTTTTAACAACAGTTTAGTTGCTGTCCAAAGAATTTAACTTCCTGGAGAGTTTTAACTTAGTGGGTTAGTAGCAAATGTTTGTGCCACTTTTCTCTCTTCACTAGTTAAAATTAGTAAGAAGGAAAGCAGAAGACTTGTGCTTACTTGGTATTTCTAAGTACACTTCACTGTAATCATAGAACAGTTTGGTTGGAAAAGACCACTAGGATCATCTAGTCCAACCGTAAATCCAGCATTGCCAAGTTCACCACTAAAGCAAGTCTGTAAGCACCACATCTACACGTCCTTTAAATACCTCCATGTCTTATGTTTATGATGAATAGACATTTGGGCCTAAAATTCACAAAGAAAGTACCTAATGAAAATACTAAAGATAGCAAAGGGCAATCCCCACTCTTTGTTGGTTGAAAATGCCATTATATTTTCCAGTAACACTTGTAAGTCACAACCAGTTTAAATGCATTAGGTGAGGAGTAAATTAATAGTGTTGGCTGGCTAAATGTATTGGCAGAGGACTTTTGCATGTGTTTGTGTTTCATGAATGTAATCCTTAATCCTAATTTTAAAAATCTACTTTGATCTAGGCATCATCATGAAAATTTTGTTGGGTACCAGGATGACAACCTCTTCCAGGATGAGATGAGGTACCTGCGCTCAACTTCAGTACCTGCACCGTACATCTCAGTTACTCCTGATGCAAGCCCAAATGTCTTTGAAGAGCCAGAGAGTAACATGAAATCTATGCCCCCAAGGTACTTCCTTGTAATTCTGGGTTCTACGTACAAATGCTAAAGTGTTAGCATAACACTAATTTATGGGAGGGGGAAAGAAAAAAAAAAGGAAAACATTGCTATAGTTAAGTAGCTAAAGTATCAGATCATTCCAGATGAGTCTTTGAAGTGGCAGCAAAAAAGCCAAAAAGCCAATCTGTAGTTAGAAAAATATCTTCAGTGAATCACAGCATATTGATTGAATTTTCAGCCACTAGCAATCAAGGCAGATTTGCAAATTGAATTTGAAATTTTTAACTGTAATGCAAAGCAATTGCTTCTCTCTAGAAAGGTCTTGGTTTTACAACCTAAATACGAAAAAAGCTTGTTCAGAAATCGATAAGGACTCTGGCATAGCTCAGGGAAATTTATCCATAGTCCATACTCCAGGCCTGCTTCTTTCCCCATAGACAAATACAATTTTTTCAGAATCTCCAGAACTGCAGAAATGAAGAAGGGATCTTCAGGGTTCTTTTTGTTCACAACTGACTGTAGTGCAGATAAATGACCTTTTTGAAAGGAAGTAGCTGTTGTCTTTCTTCCGGGATTTCATTCTGAAGGGCAGTTTGAACAGGATGGAATTTCATTACCTTACGTTTTTCAAAGCAAATGTTTCTGCTTCTTTCTGTAGGAAGTTAAAATGTCACTGAAGAAATGACAACTTAATACTATCTAGGACCCAGAGTGCTAGATGGTTTCTGTCAGGTTAAGCCAGTTTCTGATCTCATTAACTTTACTATGATCTAATTAAAGCAATTACAGAATTTTTTGTTTTGCCAGGAATAAAATGGCTCTTACTTACTAATAGTCTGGAATCAACTTAGATGTTTGGTGTTTTCAGATGTCAAACAGTGATTCCTCATATTATAATGAGGGTGTAAGGAAGAGAAAACTTGATTTTAATCTGTTTCTATTTCAATCTGTTATATTTTTTTACTGACTGCAAAAACAGTGTATTGGAATACTACAATCTACAATGTAGTCTTTTCAGAAATAGACCTTTACTAACAAAACTCCTTAAGAGTGCATCGTTTTGGTATATTCCTTTATTGTAACTGTGGACACCATGGTCTCCTGAGGCCTATAGGGACAGCATAAGCTGGGAGTTCTTCTGCAGACTGTAAGAAGTCCACTGAAGGTAAGGAGTAAAACATGTCAGAGGCGTAGCCGTAGCAATTGAAAATTAGCTTTAAGGCTAATGATGCTAGAAACTTTTCCTTCACATAAAGTTCTAAATTTCAGTTGGCTTGCATATTAAAAATTCACTCCATAGATATTTTCACGTGCATTCTGAGGGCAAATTTGGTCTGAAACTTCAATTCAGGCATGATCTGAATGTTTGTATTCTCTCTAAAAAAATTACTTAAATTCCTGGAACTTACCATGTGCATCATTACATTTGTTTATAAAGCACTTGCATGTTTTTTCACCATGTGTAATTCTAATGTGTTCCTTCTTTTCCAGCATTTAAACAGTTATTAGGTACATAAGACAAACTCCCATGCAGTAATAGCATTGTCGTTATGAAATGCATGTTTGTTGATTTAATATTTATGTATAATTCAAGTATACTTTATGTATTTGTTAATGGGTCTGTAACTTCACTGATTTCTTTGTAGTTTGGAAACCAGTCCCATAACAGATACAGATCTTGCGAAGCGTACAGTCTTTCAAAGATCATATTCAGTCGTTGCATCAGAATATGACAAGCAGCACTCGATTTTGCCAGCGCGTGTAAAGGCGATCCCGAGGAGACGGGTCAACAGTGGGGATGCGGGTAAGAGCACAGACATCAGCAGCAGTGAAAAAGTATTTGAGGATATGGCATTGGATTTGCAGTTCTTCTTGGAAACTGTAGACAAATACAACTTTTTATGAATGCATGTAATGCCTTTTATTTCTGTTTATTAATAATCATTAGCTGTTTGTTAATCCACACAGGATTAGCCTAAGAACAGCTCAGGAATTACTGCTGTTCTGAAATTTGGGGTGAATCTTTTTTGCTTGATTTAAAAGTGTACAGTGGTATTTTCTTTCTCAGTTGAAGCATAATTTTTCCACACTCCTTTTTTAATGCATTTTTGTCAAAGAAGAAATGAACAAAAATATCAGCTCTAAAATTTCTTTATTGCTTTTCATTTTTACTGTGTCTACAAAATTGTAATGCAAAGAAACTAATTATGCATATTTTTATGCTTTTGAATAGAAGTGGGGTCCTCACTCCTGAGACATCCATCTCCTGAACTTTCTCGGTTAATCTCCGCCCACAGCTCTCTTTCCAAAGGAGAGAGAAATTTCCAGTGGCCAGTATTGGCATTTGTAATCCAGCATCATGATCTGGAAGGACTTGAAATAGCAATGAAACAAGCCTTACGGAAATCTGCTTGCCGAGTCTTTGCCATGGAGGTATTAATGTACTAATGGATCTTGTATGATCAGAATAAGACATTTGTAAATTCTGTCTCAGAATTCTTTTTTTAATGAATTTTCCTATGAATTTTTTTTTAATGTGCAGTAAAATATTCACTTGCTTGTATCATTAACTCTAAAAGTTATGAATACAAAAGTATTGCCTGTAAACCTTCTTACATAGTATATATGAAAGCCCTGAGGAGTATATATATAGCCCTGAGGAGAGAGACTTGGGGTATAGGTGAACAAGAAGCTCAACAGCGCTCGCATCCCAGAAGGCCAACCATATCCTGGGCTGCATCAAGAGAAGTGTGGCCAGCAGGTTGAAGGAGGTGATTCTGCCCTTCTGCTCTGCTCTTGTGAGACCCCAGCTGTAGTACTGCATCCAGTTCTGGGGTCTCCAACATAAGAAGGACATGGACCTACTGGAGCGAGTCTAGAGGAGGGCCTCCAGGATGATCAAAGGACCGGAGCACTTCTCCTATGAGGACAGGCTGAGACAGTTGGGGCTGTTCAGCTTGGAAAAGAGAAGGCTCTGGGGAGACCTTATAGTCTTCCAGTACCTGAAGGGGCCTACAGGGAGGTTGGGGAGAGACTTTTTACAAGGGCAGTTAGTGACAGAACAGGGGGCAATGGCTATAAACTATTAGAGTAGATTTAGATTAGATATTAGGAAGAATTTTTTTTCTGTGAGGGTGGTCAGACACTGGCACAGGTTGCCCAGAGGCATTGTGGATGCTCCCTCCCTGGAAGGGTTCAAGGCCAGGCTGGATGAGGCTTTGAGCAACCTGGTCTAGTGGAAGGTGTCCCTGCTGATGGCAGAGGGGTTGGAACTAGATGATCTTTAAGGCCCCTTCCACACTATACCATTCTATGATTCTGTGACATGTTGCGTAGAAAATCTCTGATAAAAGAATACAGCTGCAAAAATCAATTTTACAGATACTGTTTTCTCCTCATTTGCTCAGCTTCTTCCTGGTCTTACTTGCCATTACTTTTTCAAATCTCTAGATATTTCACAACTCGTAGTGTGAAATGAGTAAACAAAAGATCCATTAAAGATCGGTTGCTTTGATAAAAGCTGCAAGAGGTATCCTTATTGAGGCCATTTGTTTTTAATTTCAGCTAGGCTTTAGTAAAGTTTCTTCTGAACTTGTATACAGCAAGGATATTTTCCAGGTACTTGTAACGTGAAAATATAGGTGGATTTTCTCACATAAAGTAAAAACCACATCTCTTCTATAAGTACCACCCACCAAATTTTGAAACATCAATGTGCAGAAGTATTACTGTTTTTAGAAGAATAGAAGAATGTTACAATTTAAAACCCCTTTTTTTCCCCACTGTTTTGATTTGTGAGGGTAACAGAGCACTGGAATAGGCTGCCCAGGGAGGTTGTGGAGTCTCCTTCTCTGGAGACATTCAAGACCCGCCTGGACGCCTTCCTGTGTGATCTCATTTAGGTTCCTGCTCCGGCAGGGGGATTGGACTGGATGATCTTTCGAGATCCCTTCCAGTCCCCAACATTCTGGGATTTTTTTATTTTTTTTTTAAGTGGCTGTATTGTTTTGATTAATTCAGTCAATGGCAGAGACAAAGCAAGGAAACCAGATCTCAGCCTACAGAGTTCTAAATTTAAAAGGATCTTTATTTTTTTAACCAATTTGAATAATAAGGAGTGCTGCCACCTCATCCTGTGATAATCTCTAAAAATGCATAAGAACTTTGCTTTTTGATCCTTAAAGATTTTTTCAAAGACCTTATTTTTCTATATGGTGTTTGTGAATTACTTTTGTATGTCCCCTGTAATACAGTTATTTTAATAAACTGTTTTAGCTACAGAGCAGTGTGTCTTGCTTGAAGACCTCTGCATTAATTTTTGCTTGTCCAAAAGCATCAGTGCATCTTCTTACATAAGTGGTTTAAGAAACTGTTTTACTCCAGGTTTTCTTAACCAATTAATAACTCCTTGTGTATATTTTATTTTAGGCTTTCAACTGGCTTCTGTGTAATGTCATTCAAACAACTTCTCTTCATGATATTTTATGGCATTTTGTGGCTTCCCTGACTCCTGCACCTGTAGAGCCTGAAGAGGAGGAGGATGAAGAAAATAAATCAAATAAAGAAAATGCAGAACAAGTAAGTGAGGTTTAGCATTCCTTTTGTAAATACAGTATCTCTGTTGAGTTTGTGGTCAGTTTAGAAAAATTTTTCTTATATGTTTTAAAAAAAACACAAAAAACCCCATTTCTTATATCTGTGAAACAGAACCTTAATTGTGGAATAAAGATTCTTAGTCTTAAATTGCAGTTGAACTCTTTTGAGTTATAGATAAATTAATTTTTCTCCTAAAATCTCCATATTTTGTGTGCTGATGAATTAGTCTTTTAATGCATATTTTTTGTGAGTATTCATGGGAAAGAAGGGGAATTAAAAAAAAGCACAAGAACATTGCTAATACAGTAACAAAAAAATTCACTTTTTGCTTTTTCTTCTTCCTTTACTCCCCAAAAAGTCTTTCAGTACTTTAAGAACCACAGAATCACAGGGGTTGGAAGGGATCTCAGGAGATCATCTAGTCCAACCCCCCTGCTAAAGCAGGTTCCCTACAACAGGTTGCACAGGAAAGCGTCCAGGCAGGTTTTGAACATCTCCAGAGATGGAGACTCCACAACCTCTCTGGGCAGCCTGTTCCAGTGCTCTGACACCCTCACAGTAAAGAAGTTTTTCCTTAAATTTGTCTGGAAAAGAAAAGTCTGTTGTTAATTCTGAAAACCTATAGTTAATCTATGTAATTATATATATATCTATAAAAGTAATTGTATATACACTGGATATAGTTAATTTAGTGATTTAAGAAAAAATCTATATTTAGTTCTGAAAATGTAGCATGTAAAATGGTATAGTCTAACATATTACTTTTTCAAAAGGTATATTCTTACAATCTTTTCTAGATTTAGCTCTGAAAACATTATCATAGCTCAAGAAAGCATGCTAGTGCTGTTAGTAAGTCAGGGTAATTTTTATCACTTCAAATCTAGTCCAGCTTTGAACTGAGAAGTTCTGAAACGAGTCTTTTCAGCACATCAACCCTGGTACATTGCTGCAGTTGTTTATAAAGCAACTGTAATCTTGTCCTAAATTTTATGTGGGATACAAACTTTTCCATGTTACTGTATCAACATGCAGATTTCTAATTCTACTTACTTATTTTCAAGTGTGCCAGATTATTGTATGTACACATTAAATCCCATTTGTAATAGCTCTATGTGTTATATTCTAAATATTGTTTCTGTGCTTGGCTCCAACAATTTTCTGCTGTGTAAAAATTTCAACTGCTGCATCAAAAGTGCTGCTAGAACAGAGTGGGAAAATGTGTTTCCACTGATCTTTGTGCTAGTCATCCTCCAAAATAAGAATCTTTACTATATAAAAGAATAAACAAATACTGTCTTAACTGTAGTTTGGATAATTACTGACTGAAAGGTAAAGTACGTTAGAAAGGAATGTTAAAATATGCCACTTCTGCTCTGGTGGGAATGCCATTTCTCTTTTGATATAATGAGGGTGGGACTTAAAAATTCCCCTTGGTTACTTGGCTATGATTATAATTTTATGGCATACAAGAAACTGGCAACAGTTTTTAGCTCATTGTTAAATATAACTCAGATGATGTATATTCAAATCAAAACATCATCCTTCAGCAGTCTGAACATATGATAAAAATAGTCATGTAAATATATGTACACAGTGTAATAAATTCAAGGCAGTTTGGTGCTTTTCCACAACTGGGTTTCTTTTTTTTATGGAAATATTTTTAGATATTATTTTAATATACTGGGAGAGGATGAGAAATCCCAGTGATGTATTCTGTAAAAATGGGGGATGGGGATCTAGAACCATGAATGGTTTAACGTAAGATGCAGGTTCAAGGGCAATGTCCTTGCTAAAATAAAACAAGATGCAAGAATTACTAAGCTGCAGAGAAGACAGGGGGGAGCAATATGCTATCTGTGTAGATAGGAACTGTGGGGTCAAGGAGAATACCTAGATTTTGAACTTTTTCTGAATAATTTATTGTATTTAGTGTAGAGTTCAATCTCATGCTTACTACTTCATATGCTGAGTACACTTTACCACATTATGCCCGCCAAGAAAGTACAGAGAAATGTCTGGTTTGATGATTCTTGTCTAGGTAAGCATGTGCCTAAAATTCATTTCAAATAATACCATAGCATTTATCGGCATTCAAGCAGTCAAGGTCCATGGGAAACCTACTTGCAGGAATATACATAGACAATTTAATGGGTTTAAAATAAGAAGTTTGAATCTGGCTTTCCATGTCATTATTTTGGGTTCCATAGTTCAAGCAGGATCAGATTTTCTTCTAAAAAAGAAGCAGAGGAAACAGTTTATATCCTTCATAGATGTCTTTCCTTGCCTTCTGAAATAGGGTATCGTGATCAGAACCTCCGTCTTTTTCTCTGCTACTCTTCCCCAAACCACACCTTGCTGGTCTCCACCCTCTCTGCTCCTCTACCACTGCCTTCGTACCCACTGCCTGGTGGGACTTGGCTCCCAAGGCACAGCCGTTCTGATACTGTCGCATTAACTAAGAATCATTATTTTCATGGCTCTAATGAAATAAAGCAGCTGTTAGCCTTAGCTTGATTAGCAAGTTTGTTATGGCTGGTTTTTGCTGCTCAAAAAAGTCATTATTAACAGTTGGAATATGTTATTTTTTCTAATTTTTTTTGTTTTCAAATTATTGCAACGTAATGTTTCACATATTTCAGTCATGAGAAATATGTGGTAGTATACAGTGTACTTCCTGAATTCTTTGTTTGGTGTTCATGTGTAACTTGTTATTGTAAAAATTATCTGCCAGGAACTGCTTTGAAGTTCACATTTTTTTATAGGATTGTTGCATACATCAAAAATGTTTTTATCTCTATTTATTTAACCTTTTTTCACTGAAAGTCTGTTAACAACATACTGATTGCTTTGCATCTTAGGAAAAAGACACAAGAGTATGTGAACATCCTCTGTCAGACATAGTGATTGCGGGCGAAGCAGCTCACCCATTACCCCACACTTTTCATCGCCTTCTCCAGACAATCTCTGATCTTATGATGTCCCTTCCCAGTGGTAGTGCATTACAGCAAATGGCCTTAAGGTAAATACAAATTAAGAAAATTCTTAAAAGGCTGGAAACTTAACATTACACATGAAAAGATTTTGCAATGTAGATAGAAGTTTGAAACAGTTTTATGTGCCTGTGTGAAAAGGAAAGGGTCTATCCTTATGCATAGGAAAGATATGTGTAAAAGATGTATGTATGTATTTATACATATAAATAATAGTATAAAAGATTTTGTAGAGAAAAATGTATTTACTCGTAAATTCTATACTATATCCACTATGAAAAACAACCATATTACTGAATAATAGGGTAGTGTAGTATCTGTGTGTGTGTGTGTGCATAGTAGCATATCTTTTGCTCAGAAATCTGTCATCTGAATAATAACTTTAAATTGTTTGAAATTTTTCCTGTCTATCTGTCTCAAAGATAAAAGTTGAATACTAATTATTATATTCACTGTTAAAATTCTAAGAGAAGTTTATTCCTACCTTCCTCAAAATGATACATAGAAAGACTTAAAATCATAGAATCATAGAATGGTTTGGGTTGGAAGGGACATTAAAGATCATCTAGTTCCAACCCCCCTGCCATCAGCAGGGACACCTTCCACTACACCAGGTTGCTCAAAGCTTCATCCAGCCTGGCCTTAAACACTTCCAAGGAGCGGGCATCCACAACTTCTCTGGGCAACCTGTGCCGGTGTCTCACCACCCTCACAGTGAAGAATATCTTCTCAATATCTAATCTAAACCTCCCCTCTTCCAGTTTAAAGCCATTTCCCCTTGTTCTGTCCCTGCCTGTCCTCATAAAAAGTCCCTCCCCACCCTTCCTATAGGCCCCTTCAGGTACTGGAAGGCTGCTCTAAGGCCTTTTCTCTTCTCCAGGCTGAACAGCTTCAACTCTCTCAGCCTGTCATCCTGGTGGCCCTCCTCTGGACTTGCTCCAGCAAGTCCATGTCCTTCTTAGGTTGAAGACCCCAGAACTGGATGCAGTATGCCATGTGGGGTGTCACGAGAGTAGAGTAAAGTAGAGGGGCAGAATCACCTCCCTTGACATGCTGGCCACACTTCTCTTGATGCAACCCATCCTACAAAAAGTTGAAGTTAAAATTTTATTAATGTTTTGAGAAACAAAGATTTAACTAATAGTTTCACTGTTAGATTATATCTTTTAAATAATATTCAAAATTTCAAAGTCCACTAAATGTGTTTTCAGGTGCTGGAGTCTCAAATTCAAACAATCTGATCACCAATTCCTGCACCAGAGCAATGTTTTTCATCATATCAACAATATTTTGTCTAAATCTGATGATGGAGATAGCGAAGAGAGTTTTAGTATCAGTATTCAGTCTGGTTTTGAAGTCATGAATCAGGCAAGTATTACACCTCTCATTCAGAAGCAGAGATCTATTATGAACAGCCTGTGCTTCCTGTGATAATTCTGTTTTAATTAAAACATTCTTTATTGCAGTGTGATATTTCATTGGATGTATCTCAGTTTGGGATCTTGCTGCTGATATTCTGGTTCTCATATTTAGCTTTAGAAGTTCAAATATTGACCCTTAGCCTGTATACCACTCAAACATAAGTTTTGGAGCAGTGCTTGGAAGTGCTTGTTTGCAAGTACAGTGTTTGAGGGTCTCTTAGATTTCATTTAGTTAGTTCATTTGGTTCATTGAGTTAGTTCTTTTTTTAAATGTTGTGTACTTCCAGTTCTTAGGCGCTTATATCTTTTTTCCTTCTGTTATTCGAGGAGTACAAAGTAATACTCCTGGTGAATATCTTTAAAGTGCTTTCTTCCATTTATTAATACATTTAGGCATTTACTAATATATTCAGCTGTTAGCTATGAATATTTCCTTTGGTTTAAAGGGCTGAATAATTTGAACTGATAAATGATAAATTTCTTCTTTCATTCAGAGAGCATATTTTTCGGAATAAAAATGTCTGTATAGTTTAAAAATGGCAAAGAATGTCTGTATTTTGGCTTACTTTCAGATATTTTAAATATTTTCATTTGTTTTCACAGGAACTGTGTATAGTGGTTTGTCTAAAAGACCTCACCAGCATTGTTGACATTAAAACATCAAGCCGACCTGCCATGATTGGTAGTTTAACAGATGGGTCTACAGAAACGTTCTGGGAGTCAGGAGATGAAGATAAAAACAAAACTAAGAACATCACAATTAACTGTGTAAAAGGAATCAATGCACGTTTTGTGTGTGTTCATGTAGACAATTCCAGAGATCTTGGGGTAAGAGGAAAATGAAATGAAATATCTCTCATCGAAGGTGCATAGTCAGTCGTATATACTTATCAATCAAGAACAACCACCATTTCATTTGTCCAGTTCAGTTTGTAATTTTAATTCAGTTTGGAATTCTTTGTCCTTGGTTTTGATCACTTTTAAATTTATTTATTTATTTATTTATTCTTGTTATGAAACAAATTGTCTCTCTTTTATATATGTACTCTTAATACGGAATAAGTAGTAAGAATGGTCCTCGTTTGAAGTGTTTTGTTCTTATTTTGCTTGTCTGTTGCAGAACAAAGTGACTTCAATGACCTTCCTAACTGGCAAGGCAGTAGAAGATCTCTGCAGAATAAAGCAGGTAAACATTTTAGCAGTTGACATTGAAAAGTTGCCATCATTTTTTGTCTTCATAGAGCAGAGATTTTTCTAAGCAAATAGTTTTTATTTCTTGTGATAGATAAATTATTTTACAAATATCAGACTTCATAATATTCTTGGAAAATAATGTATTATTAATGACAGAATTCAGTCATATGCTGAATATTGATCAAGCTTTTACTCTTTTACTGAAACAGAACAGGGTAATATAAAACGATCCTTTATTTTTGTTTAATTGCTACAGCTGAAAGGACAGATGGTGTAGAAAGTTTCCAAAAAGACTGTTTACGTTGCATTTTATAAGGTCCAACAAGATGTTTGATTTCTTTTAGGGTACTTATATCTGAATATACCTGAAATAATTGCATTAAGTAGTATTACACATTATTAGATATTCTGATGCCTGACTTTTTAGTGTTGCACTGTCATTGCCTTTTATCTGCTTCAGGGAATAATTTTTCATTAGATAAATGCAGTTTAAAGAGTTAGCAGAAGCAGAATGCCATGAGAAAGGAGAAAATAAATCATTTACCCTCAACACAAATTTTTCTAGTTACATGGTCTAATACACATTTATAGCAAACATTTTACCCTCCCATTTTAGTTTTCAGCTTCAGGTAGCTGAAGACTTTTGTCCGGAGACTCAAGTTCAGAATGGTATTTGGTCTTTACACATCTGTTGCTAAACCAAATGATTGATGCATGGGTTTTTTTACACAGAGAAAAATATTTTGCATTCTGACACTGATGTGACCCATGAAAGGTATGTAAGGTTTCAAGCAGGCAGTTACCATTTTGGGCTCAAAACTTTATTATTTGGATTATTGACAGTCACTGTCTTCAGTGACATGCTTGGTCAGGTACTGTGGGATGAATTCCTGGAGGGAAGAGGGGCTCAGGACAGCTGGCTTGTACTCAAAGATCTCCTTCTCCAAGCTCAGGAGCGGTAAATCCCAACAAAGAGGAAGGCAGGCAAAAACAGCAGGAGGCCTGCATGGATGGACAGAAAGCTTCTGAACAAACTTAGGATCAAGAAAGAAGCCTATACAGGGTGGAAGGAAGGATAGGTAACCTGGGAGGAATACAGAGAAATTGCCCAAGTGGCCAGGGATCAGGTTAGGAAAGCCAAGGCCCTGACAATTAAATTTGGCCAGAGATGTCAAGGGCAACAAAAAAAACTTCTACAGGTATGTTGGGGAGAAAAAGAAAACTAGGGAAAATGTGGGCCCTCTCCGGAAGGCGACAGGAGATCTGGTCACTCAGGACATTGAGAAGGTTGAGGTGCTCAATGACTTTTTTGCCTCATTCTTCACCGGCAAGGGCTCATGCCACGCTGCCCAAGTCCTAGAAAGCCAAGGAAGGGTCTGAGAGAAGGAAGAACTGCCAGCTGTAGGAGAAGACCAGGTTTGGGAGCACCT